GATTCTATGATTCTATGATTATGCTCCCCATTCATAGCCAGAAAGTTGGAAGAGACCAAAAGGGGTATCCAATTTCATTGTGCCAGGCAGGAAAAGTACAATCAAAGCACCCTTGACAGATGCCCATCTAGCCTCTGCTTAAAAACCTCCAGAGAAGCAGACTCTATCAGACGCCCAAGCAGCATATTCCATTGCCCAACAATTCTTATCACTTATCCTGCAATATGAGTCCATTTTTTATCGCGTCAGAAGCGACTTGAGAATATACTGTAAGTTGCTTCTGTTGTGAGAGAATTGGCTGTATACAAGGACGTTGCCCAGGGGATGCCCGGATGTGTTACCATCCTGGGGGAGGCTTCTCTCATGTCTCCACATGGGAAGCTGGGGCTGGCAGATAGGAGCTCACCCCATCTCGCGGATTCAAATCACCAACCTTCAGGTCTTCAGGTCAGCAGTTCAGCCCATACAAGGTGTAACCCATGGCGCCACCATGGAGGGAGGAGGGAGCAAGCTTGTTTTCTGCTACCCTGGAGAATAGGACACGGAGCAATGGCTTCAAACTACAAGAAAGGAGATTCCATCTGAACATGAAGAAGAACTTCCTGACTGTGAGAGCCGTTCAGCAGTGGAACTCTCTGCCCTGGAGTGTGGTGGAGGCTCCTTCTTTGGAAGCTTTAAAACAGAGGCTGGATGGCCATCTGTCAGGGGTGATTTAAATGCAATATTCCTGCTTCTTGGCAGGGGGTTGGACTGAATGGCCCGTGAGGTCTCTTCCAACTCTGTGATTCTATGATTCTATGATTCATCTTCAACTTCAGTTGCTGCAAATTAATCTCAAAGTACAAAAATAGTCTGCATTTAATGGGAGTCAAAAATAGTAATGCATTTAATGGACTGGGTTATGGCGCAGCTGGTTAGGAGTCAGTTGCATTAAAATCACTACTGGACTGAACGGTCATGAGTTCAAAGCCAGCTTGGGGTGGAGTAAGCTCCCGACCATTTGTCTAGCTTGCTGTTGACCTTTGCAGCCTGAAAGACAGATGCATGTCAAGTAGGATATTTAGGTACCGCTCATTTAAATAATGTACGATGCCATAAAACTCTCCAGCAGCGTGCAAAAGAACGAGGAAGTACTCCATCAGTGTCACAAGTGGACAGTGAAGCGACAGCTCCCCCCTGTGCCCAGAATTCAAAGCATACCCTCATGAAGCTGAAAAAATTAGCCTCTGTGTGTCTGTCTATATCTGTTGTGTGTCTATGGCATTGAATGTTTGCCATGTATATGTACATTGTCATCCGCCCTGAGTCCCCTGCGACTCAGTACTCCATCAGTGTCACAAGTGGACCGTGAAGCGACAGCTCCCCCTGTGGCAGCAAGCGGAAGAGAAGAAAATAAAAATGTATTTAAAATGAATATAGGAAAAGCATACCTTAAAAATACTGAACGAAAGAGAGTTTTGTGGCAGGGAGAAGCGAAGTGTTCCAAAGACGAAAGTAAATGTGTAGGCTTCAGAGATCAAGGAAGTTAAATATTAATGGAACATGACATTTGGGAAACAATAGTAAGTGATATGTTTGTCGTCAAAGGGAATGTTTTTTGGCAGCTAGACAAGAACACCTGTGTAAATATTAAGGAAAACAATAGGCTGGAACATCTAAAAGTCAGATAGGAAGATAGCGTCATCTGCTGGTTCAGTGAGGTAAATAGCAGGCAACTTCAGATATATTCTAAAAGGAATCAATTCTAGTGGATTACGAATATGGGAATAATTAAGATTTAAAACAATTAGAAGTACGTCAATATAACACGTCATCGTGGTGTATGGGAAAAAGCAATACGTAAGGACCTCTGTTAATGATTATATCTGTGTAAATGTCAAGACAGTTCTACGCATGTCTAGACCGGTGGACTTCTGCTATAAATATTGTAACCTGACTGACTTTCAGTACGCTTCAGATCTTGTTTCTGAGCGTCCTATCAACTTGATAGTAAATTTGCCTGGAATCAAATTGCAGTCTCCGTCTCCTTCCTGCTTGATTGTGCTCTAAAATGATCTTGGGTAAAGTATGTGCTGCAACACCCCTTGTGCCCAGAATTCAAAGCATACCCTCATGAAGCTGAAAAATTAGCCTCTGTGTGTCTGTCTATATATGTTGTGTGTCTATGGCATTGAATGTTTGCCATGTATATGTGCATTGTCATCCGCCCTGAGTCCCCTGTGAGGTGAGAAGGGCGGAATATAAATACTGTAAATAAATAAATAAATAAATGGGGAGAAGAGGGGATAGAAACCATTCCTTCCCAGTTGTCTCAGGCAAAAGCCTCTCATAGCTTGTGTGTACAGATACTTTTTGTAATCTGAACCATTGGTTGGCCACTAGGGCTGGGCGGTTTCGTTTCATAATTTTGTAATTCGTTAAAAATTCGTTATTTTTTGATAACGAAGCGATATTTATTATTTATTTATTTATTTATTTCATTATTAAAAATTCGTTATTTTTTTTATAACGAAGCGATATTTATTTATTATTTATTTATTTATTTCATCTACTTATACCCCGCCCTTCTCACCCTGGGGGGGACTCAGGGCGGCTTACAGGAAAGGCACAATTAGATGCCCAAATCACACAACAAACAATACAAAATATAACAATTCAACAATTAAAATAAAACATCAATACCTAATAAATCATAAAAACTATCTCATGTCAGAGTCCATATATCAGAGTCCATATATCCATATCATTCCATTGTCCTTGTCTATCGACAGGTCCTTTAGTTAGTTGTCAGCATGGCCAAAAGCTTGGTCCCACATCCAGGTCTTTAGTTTTTTCCTAAACGCTAGAAGGGAAGTCGTCGATCTGATCTCCCCGGGGAGTGAGTTCCACAGGTGAGGGGCCACCACTGAGAAGGCCCTGCTCCTCGTCCCCGCCAGCCTCACTTGTGCCACTGGCGGGGTCGAGAGCAGGGCCACCCCAGAAGATCTTAAACTTCGAGGTGGGATGTAGAGGGAGATCCGTTGAACCATTCAGGAGCAACTAAAAAACGAAACAAATTTTTCCAATTCATTTAGTAATTGTTTCGTTATTGATTCGTTATTGATTCGTTATTGATTCGTTATTGATTCGTAAATGTTTTGTTATTATTAATCTGACGTGTCAGCAACTTAGGCTTTACATTCAACTAGATTTTGTTTTTCATTCGACTAGAGAGAAGAAGAGGATCGGGCAACACACAGGGAGTAGGAATGGAGACATTTCTCGCTCGTTCTACCGCGCAAGGAATTGTGGTTGCAGTAGGATGCAAATGAGGGCTGTTTGGTGCCCGGGCTCGTCGCCTTGTGACATAGAGTGCAGGGCGGAGAGAGAGAAATTTGTGTCCATTTTTTATCGCGTCAGAAGCGACTTGAGAATATACTGCAAGTCGCTTCTGTTGTGAGAGAATTGGCCGTATACAAGGATGTTGCCCAGGGGACGCCCGGATGTGTTACCACCCTGTGGGAGGCTTCTCTCATGTCCCCGCATGAGAAGCTGGGGCTGGCAGATGGGAGCTCACCCCATCTTGCGGATTCAAACCACCAACCTTCAAGTCTTCAGGTCAGCAGTTCAGCCGGCACAAGGTGTAACCCATTGCACCACTGCGAAGTCCATTGCTCCTCATCTTCAACTTCAATTGCTACAAATTAATCTCAAAGTACAAAAATAATCTGCATTTAATGGGAGTCAAAAATAGTAATGCATGTAATGGACCGGGTTGTGGCGCAGCTGGTTGGGAGTCAGCTGCATTAAAATCACTACTGGACCAAAAGGTCATGAGTTCAAAGCCAGCTTGGGTCAGAGTAAGCTCCCGACCATTTGTCTAGCTTGCTGTCGACCTTTGCAGCTTGAAAGGCAGATGCATCTGTCAAGTAGGAAATTCAGGTACCACTCATGCAGGGAGGCTAATTCAACTAATGTACGACACCATAAAACTCTCCAGCAGCGTGGAAAAGAACGAGGAAGTACTCCATCAGTGTCACAAGTGGACAGTGAAGCGACAGCTCCCCCCTATGCCCAGAATTCAAAGCATACCCTCATGAAGCTGAAAAATTAGCCTCTGTGTGTCTGTCTATATATGTTGTGTGTCTATGGCATTGAATGTTTGCCATGTATATGTGCATTGTCATCCGCCCTGAGTCCCCTGCGAGGTGAGAAGGGCGGAATATAAATACTGTAAATAAATAAATAAATAAATGGGGATATTGAACCATTCAGGAGCAACTAAAAAACTAATAAATAAAAACTAATAAATAAATAAATGGGGATATTGAACCATTCTGGAGCAACTAAAAAAAGAAACAAATTTTTCCAATTCGTTTCGGAATTGTTTCGGAATTGTTTCGGAATTGTTTCGTTATTGATTCGTTATTGATTCGTAAATGTTTCGTTATTATTTCCGCATGTCTGGTGCAAGTTTTAGGGTTGCTGTTTGTTTTCTCAGTGAAAAAAAATATAATTATCACACCAACAGTCAACAACAGAGGGAGAGGGAAGCTTCAGAAGTTTTTTTAGTGTATTGCGCAATCGCGGCCGCCATTAACGAATCGATTCATAATCGATTCGTAATTGTTTCATAATTGTTTTATGATTTCCGAAATTTCGTAAATATCAAACTTTTTTTAAGGAAAATTTCGGAATTCTTTTAAATAACGAAACGCAAAAAACCCCTAAAAACGAATCGAGTTTAGAAACAATTTTTTCCGTGTTTGGACAGCCCTATTGGCCACATATGTCCCAACTTTCAGCTGTGAAACATTGGGAAGGATGTAATTGGCTCTCCTTTTGCAACAGACAAAAACTGCTGTCTGAGGCAGTTGCCTCACACTGCAAAAGAGCAAAACTGGCTCTGATCACCCCAATTATTACATGTCTCACAAAACTGCTAATGAGACAAAACATCCTTCCTTGTATGTTGCAACACACGAAGAATAACATCACCTCCAAGGTCGGTTTATTTTGTATGTGTTTTTATTGAATAATTAAATCCGACTGGCGCCCACAGCAAGGGAAGCAGTCCACAGCTGTCCAACGAGGAAAAAACTGCCTTTTCTGCTTTTCGTCACAATGACATCTTGGGCGCACGCAGCATCAATAGCAGATTATCTTCTGGGAAACGCAGCCAGCAAAGCCAAAACGGGACTCATCGCAAGGCAGAAGGCAAGAGTAAGGTCTTCTTCATCCATTCCAGCTTCCAAAGCGCAAATGTTCTTGGAGGCCAAGGCTCGCTCGAGCTGGTTATTCCAGGCAATGTGCTGCCTACTCCTAGCAGCTAATCCCATAGAAGAGATAAAACTCATAGTCTGTGTTAAACACCAACAGAGATGGAGTCTCCCCATTCAAGAAAACGGATGATGCCCCCATTTGTAAATAGAGAAGAGGGACTCCCTCAAGGTGAGAAAGCTGGGCCTGTCTTCTGGGTGGCTCTTCCAGCACTCCAGCATCACGCTGTAAATCTCTGGAGAGCAGGTGTTCGGACGAGGAAGGCGGTAACCTCGCGTAATCTGCTGGATGGTTTCTTGGTTGGTCATCCCTGGAAAAGAAACAGATAAGCAATCAATTTAATGGGACAGTGGGAAAACTCTCCAAATGGAATGTATGAATACAATAGATTTTTGGCATCTGCTGGGGTTTGGTTCAGTTTCATAAATACCAAAACCCTTGGATGCTCAAGTCCCATGATATGCAATAGCACAGCGAAATGTATAAAATGTATTTTTATTTTATTTACAGTATTTATATTCTGCCATCTCACCCCGAAGGGGACTCAGGGTGGATCGCGGAACACATATATAGCAAACATTCAGTGCCGAAAAGGAAAACATTCAATACTGTTATACATTGACAAGATAGACAACTGTACATAGATAGAGATATATAGGCTTTCCCATTTTTGGCATCTTGGAGGCAGTGCTTAGTTCCAGCCACATGGGGGTACTGTCGCTCCATCTTCCCTGCCAAAGAGCTTTGTTCGTAAACTTCCTCCTTGATCGAATCGCTGACATTTTTCTGACATTTCCTTATGGGTGCTTTAAATGCTTCCCCGCTTTAAGGTGGTGCCTATTTATCTACTCGCATTTGTTTTCAAACTGCTAGGTAGGCAGAAGCTGGGCTAAAGGCCAGGCGCTCAACCCGACTCAGGTTTAGAACTGTCAACCTTTTGATTGGCAAGATTTACTGCAACTGGCGGTTAATCTGCTATGCTAAAGCCCGGCCCTGGTGTGCTAAAACCAGTTCCAATGACAAAACAGATATCTATTTTTAGAATTTTTGTCTTCCGTGTGAATATTTTCAAATCCTGGAAGACTGAATCTTTCGACATGGAAAGACTATAGAATGCCAATGAATATACAATTCCATTAAACCCATGGATACAGAGGACCAACTCTATAACTCCATTGAATACAGTTCAACTCAGATTTTTTCCAGTCCATTAGTGGAAGTATGAACAAAATTAAGGGTTTCATGACATACTATAAATATTATTGCATGAATCCTCACAACTGTATATGTTAATGAAAGTAATATCCTAAAAATAGCCCCCCCCCCCCCCCGGCTATATGCCTGGTCATAGGGGTTCTGTGTGGGAAGTTTGGCCCAATTCTATTGTTGGTGGAGTTCAGAATGCTCTTTGATTGCAGGTAAACTATAAATCCCAGCAACTACAACTCCCAAATGTCAAGGTCTATTATCCCCAACCCCCACCAGTGTTCACATCTGGGCATATCGAGTGTTCATACCAAGTTTGGTCCATATTCATCATTGTTTGAATCCACAGTGCTCTCTGGATGAAGGTGAACTACAACTCCAAAACTCAAGGTCAATGCCCACCAAACCCTTCCAGTATTTTCTGTTGGTCATGGGAGTTCTGTGTGCCAAGTTTGGTTTAATTCCATCATTTGGTGGAGTTTAGAATGCTCTTTGATTGCAGGTGAACTATAAATCGCAGCCACTACAACTCCCAAAGGAAAAAAATCAGTGCCCCCAACCCCACCAGTATTTAAATTTGAGCGAATCAGGTGTTTGTGCCAAATTTGGTCCAGTGAATGAAAATACATCCTGCATATCAGATATTTACATTACGATTCGTAACGGTAGCAACATTACAGTTATGAAGTAGCAACAAAAATAATGTTATGGGTGGGGGTCACCACAACATGAGGAACTGTATTAAGGGGTCGCAGCATTAGAAACGTTGAAAAACACTGTCTTAAGAGAAGATTTCGAAGCCAGAGGAACTGATGCTTGCTTGGCACACCTATTAATGTTACAAACAAATCCCTTATTCCAAATGCTTGGGACCAAAAGTGTTCTGGATTTTGGAATACTATAGACTTAAATGTGCTGCTAGATTCCTTTCTCTCTTCCTTTTCCCCTTTCACAGCAACTACTGTGAAAACCATTACTTTCCCTAGTTATGGTTGTTTTCTGAACCTCAAGGAGTGTCGAATTCAACTGAGAGGCATTTTCAACATTTGTCAGTTCCTGCAAAGGGTGTGCATAACTCACATTCCTGTTCAAAAGTGCAAATTCTGTGCAGATGTTCAGAGTTTTGGAAAATGTCTATTTCGGAAAGTAGTTGTCGATAGTTAGGCTTTGGCAAAATGGGCCCGAGCATTTTTTCTGTTGGCCACATGACATATAATGGCAAATTGTTTCCAAGGTTGGAAAAGGTCTTTGGAGCTGAGAGAGGGAAAAAATCCCATGTCTAGGGCTTTCCTCTCCTGGTAGTAAAAATGCCATAAAGTGCTAATAAATCACAAATAATGATCGGGCTTTTTATTGCACAATTGCCCTTTGTTCCAGGAAAAATCCAAGTGCCAAAATTATACCAATATCTTCCCCACCTCCACAGAACAGACATATTTTTGTGTACTTATATCAAAGGGGAAATTTAGATTGAGGCACTGGTATTTGAGAGGAAAAGATCAAACATCTCCAAACTGTGCCATTTGGAAGAGCAAATCAATATTCCCCTGCATTTGTTTTGGGAATTCATACAAAATCCCACTTCTAGGGCATTCCTCTCCTAGTAGTTTGGAGAGGAATTTGGAGAAACTTGCATTTCAAGGTCCAAAGTGCTGGAGGCAATAACAGCTGTAAAGATTAAAATTGAACCAGTGGAGAAAAACAAGCAGAAAGTCAGGTAGACCAAATTGCCTTTCCCTGTCTTGTCTAAGTCAGTGTTTCTCAACCTGGGGATCGGGCCCCTGGGTGGGTCACAAGGGGGTTTCAGAGGGGTCGCCATAGACCATAAGTAAATGGAGAAGGCTGAAGAGCTCTCTGCCTGTCCTTCTCTTCATTTTTGGAAACAGACAGCAAATCCTCCCACCAAAAGCCCTCCTCCACTGTGATTGGCTGACCTCTCAGCCAAGGGAAGGGCCGTTTCTGAGACTCCAAGTGGGGAGGGGAGAGCAGGCATGTTCGGAGCCTGGCAGCGTGGTGCGCATGTGCAGGCAAGGGAGAGCGTGTGAGGCAGGAGGGAGGCCTGTGATAGCGAGTCCCTTCAAGACATGGGGGTTCTGTGTGGGAAGTTTGGCCCAATTCCATCGTTGGTGGAGTTCATAATGCTCTTTGATTGTAAGTGAACTATAAATCCCAGCAACTACAACTCCCAAATGACAAAATCGATCCCCCCCACCCACCCAACAGTATTCAAATTTGGGCTTATCGGGTATTTGTGCCAAATTTGGTCCAGTGAATGAAAATACAACCTGCATATCAGAAATGTAATTTTATGGTTGAGAGTCACCACAACATGAGGAACTGTATTAAGGGGCCGTGGCATTAGTAAGGTTGAGAAACACTGATCTAAGTAACTTTTTTGATAGGCTGCAATTCTTATGTTTTACTTCCTTCCTGATAATCTGGAATCACATCCTGGGATATAGGGCAGCATAGATCTTTCCCCTCTCCAGAGAATGACATCCGTAGTCATATCAAAATCCATAATCCTTTGACCTATACATGAGGTCAAGTTATACTCAAGTATATACAATACATCTCCAAGGGATGCTTGTTTAAATAATTCTGTACCTTCGTAGGGACACTGCCCGTATGTGAAAACCTCATAAAGAAGAATCCCATAAGACCAGACATCTGATTTGGGGGAATAGGTCTGGTAGATGGCTGCTTCAGGTGCTGTCCATTTCACGGGGATCATAGTGTTGCTGCTGGTGGAGTAAATATCATCCTAGAATGAAACATGAATTGGGCATTGAGCAAAAGGCATTTAGTTACTTCCATCTTATTTTCCAAGAGGCTTACGATTGTGGTTGATGAATCATTTAGGGAAGATCTTCACAATGTGTGGCTTTTGGGCTTCAGCTCCTAAAACTCCTGTCCATTGGATAAGTTCGCTAGGGCTTCTGGAAGCAGGAATCCCAAATACCTGGAAGACCACAGGTTGGACAGACCTGATTTAGGCATTTGTTCAGAAGCTACCTTTGATGTTCTTTGGGCAGTGCAATGCAACTCTCAAAGCTGTGGGAGATGCGTTTCCAGACATGGATATGCAGAAGTATGGATAATTGCAACCCCAAGACAGTCATGCTAGAGGACCTAGAAAAGGCCTAGAGATTTTGTATTTTGTCTGACATGGATAAACGAAGCTGTGGGTATTGTTGTAAATTATATCTCACGTGGGAAAAGCATTTAGCAGAACACAAAGTTATTGGGAAAGGGGTACAATTCTGTGGCATAGCACTTACTTTGAATAGAGATGTTCCCAGCTTAATTCTCTAGCGCAGTGGTTCACAACCTGTGGGTCCCCAGATGTTTTGGCCTACAACTCCCAGAAATCTCAGCCAGTTTACGAGCTGTTAGGATTTCTGGGAGATAAAAGCCAAAACATCTGGGGACCCACAGGTTGAGAACCACTGCTCTAGCATTTCATGCTAAACAATTCGACAGCGTGGGATCCCAAAGAGTGGCTGCTTGTTAAGGTAGACTATGGTAGACACACGACAAAGTTATAACACTGTGATTCCACTGTAATTCCACATGGCTGCATTCTGTGGAATCCCGGGAGACACTAGAGTTCTCTGGTTGATAAACCTAAATGCTCCTCTTTAAACTGTATTTCCTGTGATTTTATGGGAAGTAACTCCCAGCAACGCATCTAATTTTTTAAAAGAAATATACCTGTACAGTTGTGGTTCGAATCTTAGTTTCTCCAGTTGTTTTGGATTACAACTCTCAGAAATCCCAGCCAGTTTACCAGCTGTTAAGAATTGTGGGGGCTGAGTCCAAAACATCTGGATGGCCAAAGGCTAGAAAAGGGACGGGCCAAGGGCTGTTTCACATATACATGCAAATACATTCTGTGATTCCTGCAAAAAGATATGTAGATGATAAGGAAAGAGAGATGGGTAGACAAGACAGGACTCAAAAGCATCCCCGAACAAACCTTTAGGAGCCTGGCGAGGCCGAAATCAGCTATTTTGCAGGCAAGGTCATCTCCAACCAGGATGTTTCTGGCAGCTAAATCTCGGTGGACAACGTGCTGTTCTTCCAGGTAGGTCATCCCATCAGCCACTTGGCAAGAAATGCTGAGCAGGTGATGGGCTGTGAGTTCCTTCCCTGCAACAGCTGGAAAAAAACAGAAGAGAAAGAAAGATTCTGTTAGTCTTAGCCACTTCATCATTTTGAAGATTATAAGTGTTTAGTAGAGAAGAGCTCAGTCTGACTCAGTTTTGTAATCAAATCTTCATCATAGAATCATAGAATCATAGAATCAAAGAGTTGGAAGAGACCTCATGGGCCATCCAGTCCAACCCCCTACAAAGAAGCAGGAATATTGCATTCAAATCACCCCTGACAAATGGCCATCCAGCCTCTGCTTAAAAGCTTCCAAAGAAGGAGCCTCCACCACACTCCGGGGCAGAGAGTTCCACTGCTGAACAGCTCTCAGTCAGAAAGTTCTTCCTAATCTCCTTTCTTGAGCCATTGTTCCGCGTCCTAGTCTCCAGGGGGGCAGAAAACAAGCTTGCTCCCTCCTCCCTGTGGCTTCCTCTCACATATTTATACATGGCTATCATATCTCCTCTCAGCCTTCTCTTCTTCAGGCTAAACATGCCCAGCTCCATAAGCCGCTCATAGGGCTTGTTCTCCAGACCCTTGATCATTTTAGTCGCCCTCCTCTGGACACATTCCAGCTTGTCAATATCTCTCTTGAATTGTGGTGCCCAGAATTGGACACAATATTCAAGATGTGGTCTAACCAAAGCAGAATAGAGGGGTAGCATTACTTCCTTAGATCTAGACACTATGCTCCTATTGATGCAGGCCAAAATCCCATTGGCTTTTTTTGCCGCCACATCACATTGTTGGCTCATGTTTAACTTGTTGTCCACGAGGACTCCAAGATCTTTTTCACGTACTGCTCTCGAGCCAGGCATTGTCCCCCATTCTGTATCTTTGCATTTTTTCTGCCTAAGTGGAGTATCTTGCATTTGTCACTGTTGAACTTCATTTTGTTAATCCTCTCTAATCTGTCAAGATCGTTTTGAATTCTGCTCCTGTCCTCTGGAGTATTGGCTATCCCTCCCAATTTGGTGTCCTCTGCAAACTTGATGATCATGCCTTCTAGCCCTTCATCTAAGTCATTAATAAAGATGTTGAACAGGACCGGGCCCAGGACAGAACCCTGCGGCACTCCACTTGTCACTTCTTTCCAAGATGAAGAGGAAGCATTAGTGAGCACTCTCTGTGTTCATCCACTTAACCAGTTACAGATCCACCTCACCGTAGTTTTGCCTAGCCCACATTGGACTAGTTTCCTTGCCAGAAGGTCATGGGGGGCCTTGTCGAAGGCCTTACTGAAATCCAGGTACGCTACATCCACGGCATTCCCCGCATCTACCCAGCTTGTAGCTCTATCGAAAAGAGATCAGATTAGTCTGGCATGACTTGTTTTTGATAAATCCATGTTGACTATTAGCGATGACTGCATTTGTTTCTAAGTGTTTGCAGACCGCTTCCTTAACAATCTTTTCCAGAATCTTGCCCGGTATCGACGTGAGGCTGACCGGACGGTAGTTGTTTGGGTCATCCTTTTTTCCCTTCTTGAAGATTGGGACCACATTGGCCCTCCTCCAATCTGCTGGAACTTCTCCCGTTCTCCAAGAACTCTCAAAGATGGTTGCCAATGGTTCCGAAATGACTTCCGCTAGTTCCTTCAATACTCTGGGGTGTAGTTGATCTGGCCCTGGGGACTTGAACTCATTAAGAGCGGCCAGGTATTCCTGGACGACTTCTTTCCCAATTTGGGGTTGGATGTCCTCCAATCCCTCATCCACTCCATCTTGCTGAGGTTGAAGACTCTCTTTTTGTGAGAAGACCGAGGCAAAGAAGGCATTAAGTAGTTCTGCCTTTTCCCTATCCCCTGTCAGCATTGCCCCATCTTCTCCTCGAAGAGGTCCTATCGCCTCCTTGTTTTTCCTTTTTCTACTGACATAAGAATAGAAGCCCTTTTTATTGTTTTAAATGTCCCCGGCAAGCCTGAGCTCGTTTTTTGCTTTAGCCTTGCGGATCTTTTCCCTACAGGTGTTGGCTATTTGTTTGAATTCTTCTTTGGTGATTTCTCCCTTTTTCCACTTGTTGTGCATGTCTCTTTTGTGTTAAATCTATCTGTGTTACTCAGTATTCTTTCAGTATGGTTCTTATCATACTGCAGGGCATTGGCCCCACCCACCATCTCTCCTCCATTGTCTTCATTGTGTGGGGGGGGGAACCTCTCTTTGACATGTCAGCTGCAGGCCCGTAGCCAAGATTTTGTTTCGGGGTGGGGGGGGGCTGAGTCTGAGTGAAAGAGGGTCTACCCTAGCAAACCTTTTGTATCGTTACCCCAATACCCCCATGCATATGGGATATATTGAGCATGGTGATCAGATCATGATATGAATAAACATAACAGTTTAAATAATGTACCAGTAAGGCCTTCTCGGACCACCATCAGAATTTTGGGGGGGGGGCTGACCCCCCAGGCCCCCCCCCCCCCCCGGCTACATGCCTGGTCAGCTGTTACCTTCAATGCGCTCCCTCCCTCCCTATGGGTTCTGACTGCATTTATTCTCCAGTCTAGATGCATCCAGAGAAGGATATGGACCTTGGGAAGCTAAAACTCCCAGTACTGCATAGTATGGAGACATAAAGTGGGGTCCAAGTGGGGGTCAAAGAGCATTCATTCCATAGTGTAAATGCACCAAGAGAAGGGTATGGACCATGAGAAACTATGACTCCCAGAACTGCACAGCATGGAGACATAGCATAATTTTAAGTGTAGTACTCAGTGGAATTTAGTAAATGTGATGAAGTGGTAGAAAATCTATTCCAAGATTCTTTGTGTGTTGCTTTGTTTGACTAACACATTTTCACTGTGGTGCCAGGGTGTTTTGATAGGTCCACATTGATTCCAAGGACTATAACAAGGATCTTTTATACTACATGATTATACTTTCCACTTGAATTGCCATGACTGGTAAATCCTATGGCTTCCTGAGATTTGTAGTTTGCGAAGGTACTTGAGGGCCAACGTGGATATTGGGTTACAACTCTGCAGATCAGGATTTGAATTCACACTCTGCCTTTGAATGAAAGTGTCCAAGAAATGGCATGATAGATTTGCTTTAGGGTTGCCATAAGTCAGAAACACCTGGAAAGTACACTTCTTTAGAAAAGTGGCCAAGTAAAGCTCATGATAGATTTGCCTTAAGGTTGTCAGAAGTTGGAAATGACTGGAAGGCACACTTCACCTTTGTCCTCAGCTTATTCTAACTGTTACAAATGGAGTTGAAACAATATTTAGCAAGACCTGCATATGGGAGGGGGGCAGAGTCTTGCCTTTCCTTGCATATTCACACAAAAGCAAACTGCTGCACCTTCTCCTAGCTGATTAAGTTCTTCCTCATTAACAAATTTTGTCATCTTGGCCACCCACTGATACCACCCATGTCATGCTTTTCAACTGAGGATTATTAGAGAGCATGTAAACATTGTCATTCAACACAAGGGTTGCATAGCACAACCAAAGTATAACATTGCATGCAGAAATTTATAAGACTCAGCTCTCGTGTAGGGTCTTGACCTTCAGAGAGAGTTTGCATAGCTCTTACTTCTCCTTTTCCTTTGTTGCGACTAAAACCTCTCCTGTGTCAGATCTATTATAATGGCAAGTTACTTCTTATACTGCTGAGGATAGGATACATCATCTCTACATGCAAGTATGTGTGTGAGTTTATATATGCATATTCATAGGTGTGCATTGAAAATGAATTTCAACAGGGAGAAATGTATAGTGCTACACTTAGGCAATAGAAATGAAATGCAGAGATATAGGATGAGTAAAGCCCGTCTTGAAAAGAATACATCTGAAAGTGATCTAGGTGTCTTAGGAGACCAAAAGCTGAACATGAGCCAATAGTGTGATGCAGCAGCTGAAAAAGCCAATGTGATTGCAAGCTTCATCAACAGGAGTATAATGCCCAGTTCAAGGGAAGTCCCTATGAGGGCCCTTCCACACAGTACACATTATCTGAGTGTGGATTCAGATAACCCAGTTCAAAGCAGATATTGTGGGATTTTCTGCCTTGATATTCTGGGATATAGGGCTGTGTGGAAGGGCCTTACATCTATATTAGATAGTCCTTTATTCTGCTTTGCTCAGACATCATCTGGAGTAAAACTTGTGTCCATTTCTGGGCAACACAATTCAAGAAGGATATTGACAAGCTGGAAGATACCCAAAAGGATCAAAGGTCTGGAAGCCAAGCCCTACCAGGAACAGATTAGGGAGATGGTTAACTTTAGCTTGGAAAAAGAGAAATTTAGAGGAGACATGATAGCCATGTTTAAATATTTGAAACAATGTCACGTTGAAGAGGGGGCAAGTTTGCTTTTTGCTACTCTGGAATCTAGAACACAGAGCAATGGGTTTAAGTTGCATGGAAAGAGATTCCACCTGAATATTAGGAAGCATCTCCTGAAGATATTATCAGTTGAACGATGGAATATGCTGCCTTGGAGCTGGCCCTTGGGGTCTCTTCCAACTCTATGATTCTACGTAGAAATGCACGTGCCTCTTTTCATGAAGACAGTAGAAGGCTATGTTCTATTTTTAAAACAAAACAATCACCCCGACCTCCCTGTTCTGGGTGACATAATGCTACAAGGAAACTCATTATCTGACAAAAGTAATGTTTAGCAGTCATTTGCCAAGACGTCTAGCTGCTCTCTCATCAGTGTGGCTCCAGACCTGTTCTCCTTGGGAGTTGTCCCTCCTTCGGTGGCCAAATGCACCTCAAAAGCAGGTCAGATTACTTGCCACGAGGCACCTCTCAGGAAAGAATGCCCTACTTGGAACCTGGAAGCTGTTTGACTGCTTGCCTTGGACAAATATTTCTCAAATAGCCGTGAAACTTGGAAGAATTCAGTGTGGTGGTGCATGACTTGTTTGCCACTTCTGAAATGAGAATTGTCCCCAGAATGAGAGTTGGGGGATTTGAGGTTTAAGTTCACATTTTCTGAGAGAACCCACAAGTTGTTCATGTTGCAGAACAAGTTTAGGGAGCCATGCTGGATGCTTTCATAGGTATTACCATGCCTTAGGAAACAAAGGAAGGTATAGGCAAGTGCATTCCAGAGCACAAGCCAGCCAACCAGGTGTCTTAAGTGCCTAAGCATTTCATGCCAAGAGAAATCAGGAAGTCCTCCTACACAGATTTATGTGTTCACAATGCCTCCATTGATTGCCCAGGAACAGGGTGTGTGATTGTGTGTTCCATAGCACAGTGACCCATAAAATGTACATGTCTGTTTTGCACTTTCATTGTCATTCTTATACACCTTCAAGTTGACTTTTAGATATGGCAGGGGTGGGCTATATGCAGATCTGGGTTATTTATTGTGGGGGGGACGGGACATGTGGCATTGCATATACATTAATTTATTGATATATAGTTGCCCTTCCACATCTGCAGGTGGCATATCCACAAATTCAAGCAACTGCAGACCAAAAATACAGATAGCAAACAAATGAGATGACTGAGGCCCCTTCCATACAGCTGTATAAAATCCACATTGAACTGGATTCTATAGCAGTGTGGACTCTGATAACCCAGTTAAAGCAGATATTGTGGATTATCTGCCTTGATATTCTGGGTTATATGGCTGTGTGGAAGGGCCCTGAGGATTTATGTCAGGGGTCCTCAAACTAAGGCCCAGGGGCCGGATGCAGCCCTCCAAGGTCATTTACCTGGCCCTCGCTCAGGGTCAACCTAAGTCTGTAATAACTCAAGCACACAACAACAACAACAACAACAACCCTATCTCATTAGCCAAAAGCAGGCCCACACTTCCCATTGAAATACTAATAAGTTTATATTTGTCAAAATTGTTCTTCATTTTAATTGTTGTATTGTTTTTAAGTTGTTTTTGCACTACAAATAAGATATATGCAGCATGCATAGGAATTCATTCATGTATTTTTCAAATTATAATCTGGCCCTCCAACAGTTTGAGGGACTGTGACCTGGCCCTCTGTTTAAAAAGTTTGAGGAACCCTGATCTATGTAATGATCAAGTCTTGAACATTGGCCAGACATATTTTCAGTCTCTCTCCAATATGTTGTTCAATACTTGATCCCCCATGGATTTTAGGGTCAATGGGGAGTTCTGGAACGAATCTGCTGTGGATATGGAAGACTGGCTATATTGGAATAAAATTACTGAATATATTTTCAGAGTGATTATTGTAGGCATGATCTCAAGGCCAAATTTTTAGCTATTCTGGAGGGCTATAAAATACCATCATCATGGCTGCAATTTTGAGGGAACAGAAGGTACAATGCAACACTTCTGTTGGGCCATTGAGGTGTATTATGTTTTTTCTTCTTTTGCGATGAAGAGTTCCCTAATAGTTTCTGAATAGTCCCATACATAGGTAACCTTTCAATTTTTAAAAAAAGTGAGACCCACTTTTTGGTTGAAATGTTTTGAGCAGGGTGTCAGGATCTTTTGAGGGTTAGTGGAGGTCCCAAGGATGACACTGGATGCTTCCACAGGGGTATTGCAGGCTGTATGGTTCCTACCATACAGTATCCCTGTTGACTTTCCCCCAATTTTGTTGCCATTGTGTGATAATCCAGACGGAAATTACACAGGGACGATGTAATATATTTTACTGCCTGAGTCACAGCAGCAAATGGCACCCTTCACGTATCCAAGTTAAGCAACAAACACTAGCCAAGTTACTTAGGAACAAAAGTAAAAAGAGCCAGCCAAGTTACTCTTCCCTTCTTACCCAACTGAAAAACACAATAACAACAAAATAAATAAATACCACATAACACTCCAAGGTTGTTCCTCCCTGCGATGATTTCCTTCACCTAATTAATAGTAGGGCCAGCCCTACATTTGAATATTTAAGTGACTCTTTATTTGTGGGGAAAGATCTATAGAAGATGATAGTGCCTCTTCAAACTACAAATCCTAATATTCTTTAAGATGTTGTCATGTCAGTTAAAGTGGATTCAAAGTGCTAGTATCATTCAGCACAAAAATGAAGATCATCCATGCTATGGCATTTCCTTTTTTTAAAAAAACCGAGACTGTCATGCTTTGGACATATCATGAGAAGACGTGACTCACTAGAAGAGAGAAAAATACTTGGTAAGGTAGCAGGTAGTAAGAATAGCAGGAGACTGTATTACAGGTGTATAGACTCAATCAAGGAAGTGATGGACCTGGATTTGAAAGACCTGAGCATATCTGTTGATAACAGGTAGAGTTGTGGTCTCTCATTTGAAGGTGAAGTCAACATGTGTTATGACTCCTTTGAAATCATGACATAAAGGTCAACATGGGACATACAATTGTTGTATATAGACAAGGTCTATAGAAGACCACTTGTCAGGGGCAATCAAAGGGAAATGGAGAGTCGTAGTGGAGAAAGCAATAAAAGTCTACTTACTCCGGGATTTTGATGGGACTAGGAAACTGAACCTTTTCTGCAGTAGTATATAAGGTTATGGGTATGATTGATGATCCTAAAAGCAGCTTGGCATGCAAGGCATTTAGAGAACTCCTGTTTTGACAAAGGTCATGAGTAGGCTGATCTTGCTTTTGTCAGCAAATAAAGTACTATTTGGAAGATAATAGACTTTTCTTTGAAACTAATGGTTAGACCACCTGAAAATCTGGCAGCTTAATAGCAGATAGCAAACAATACCAAAATACTTCAAAGAGTTTGTAAAAGATCTTGGAAAACTTCCTTTTTGGGATTACAGTTGTAATATGCTTTTTGTTGTTTTCTTTTTGTGTGCATATAGTCTGTTCAAATAGTTTTAATTTACCTTGAATTGTCATAAAATGGTTCTAAATTGTTTTAGATTGGTCTACTGCAGATTTATTGCTTGTTTCTTGCCCTGAGATCTTTCAGTATAGATCCAGATTCAAACCCTTCAATGAATAGAATTTAAAATAATATGTTGGCTCTTAGGGGAGGGGACTCGTGGACCAAGGAACGTACCACCAGGCATGAGAACTCCAAAAAGAAAGACTCTGAGGCTGATACTAACTGTTGAGGTAGCTGTGTAAGTTGCCCTTCCTCATCAGCTCCGTAACGATGTACACTGGTTCGCCCACGGAGCAGATCGCGAGGAGTTTGATGAGCCTCGTGTGCTTTAAGCTTTTCAAGTTCTGGATCTCTTTGGCAAAGTCATCTCTCATGTCAGCTGTCATGGAAAAAAATAGAGAGAGACCACAAACACAGGGCTAAAAGGCTTTTCAAGAATCAATCCATTCCACAAGTTCAGTTATTTTATTCTATAGCAATTTGTGTTGGACAAATGTGCTCTATGTATTGTCAAAGGCTTTCATGGCCGGAATCACTGGGTTGTTGTAGGTTTTTCCGGGCTATATGGCCATGTTCTAGAGGCATTTTCTCATGACGTTTCACCTGCATCTATGGCAAGCATCCTCAGAGGTAGTGAGATCTGTTGGAACTAGGAAAAAAGGGTTTACATATCTGTGGAATGACCAGGGTGGGACAAAGGACTCTTGTCTGCTGGAGCTAGGTGTGAATATTTCAACTGACCACCTTAATTAGCATTTGATGGCTTGGCAGTGCCTGGGGGAATCTTTTGTTGAGAGGTGATTAGATGTGCCTGATTGTTTACTCTCTGTTGTTTTGCTGTTGTGATTTTAGAGTTTAGAGAAACACAATATTGAAACCATCGACAGAACCACCAAGAAAATCCAACAAATGCTACGTTCAGCAAAGAACAAGAGGGATCCTTTCACTTCTGCAGGAGTCTACCGTATACCATGCAGCTGTGGACAAGTCTACATAAGGACCACCAAACGCAGCAGCATTGCCCAAACACGAATCAAGGAACATGAAAGGCACTGCAGATGACTTCAACCAGAGAAGTCAGCCATAGCAGAGCACCTGATGAACCAACCTGGACACAGCATATTATTTGAGAACACAGAAATGCTGGACCACTCTCACAACCACCATGTCAGACTACACAGAGAAGCCATTGAAATACTCAAGCATGTGGACAATTTCAACAGAAAGGAGGAAACCCATGAAAATGAACAAAATCTACAACAGCAAAACAACAGAGAGTAAACAGGCACTTCTAATCACCTCTCAACAAAAGATTCCCCCAGGCACTGCCAAGCCATCAAATGCTAATTAAGGTGGTCAGTTGAACATTCACACCTAGCTCCAGCAGGCAAGAGTCCTTTGTCCCACCCTGGTCATTCCACAGATATATAAACCCTTTTTTCCTAGTTCCAACAGACCTCACTACTTCTGAGGATGCTTGCCATAGATGCAGGCGAAACGTCAGGAGAAAATGCCTCTAGAACATGGCCATATAGCCAGGGAAAATCTACAACAACCCAAATGTGTTCTATGAGTCTTTGCACTAGAGGATAGATGGACATAAGTTGGGTGTTAGAAATGGGACTACAATAAGATTCCTGTTACCCATACCTGCAGGAATGGTCTCAATAGAAATTTGCTAGGTCTTCCAGGTGATTTCATGAAGTTATCATAAAACTCCATTGGAAGACCTAATAATGCAATTCCAGGTGATTTTATGACGTTATCATAGAATTCCATTGGAAAATCTAGCAATACAATTCCAGGTGATTTCGTGAAGCTATCATAGAACATAGAATTCTAGAGCATCTCAGTCTTCCTGGGTATCCCAATTCAGACCTCCAAATGGCAGTCCTTGGACAAAATATAGAACCAACTTGGATCTTCTAAATCCAAGTCTCTAACCATTATGCCACATTGGCATGATTCAATGAATCCCTTCTCACTGGGTGCAGAGATCCAATTTAACCTGAAGAGCCCAATTTGGGTGGAGGGTTTGAGTCACCTGTTAGGAAATAGGAAAGCCAGAGGCCGGATGGGAAAAAGGTGTTCACCAAAGAACAACCAATTGTGCTCCCCACCAACCTTGCTTCATGATTTTGATGGCCACCGGCACTGTGTTCTTCCACATTCCTTCCCACACCTCTCCGAAGCATCCTTCTCCCATCTTCCGCCAGAGCTGGAATTCGGAACGAGGCCGCTCCCATTGGTCTGTCTCTGGAGTCCGCTGTAAAAAGAGAGACACACAAACTGTAAAAGTCACAAGACAGACCTGAACAAGGAGATGGACAGGTAGGCCATTCTGTCAGCAGGAATACACCTGCCGTATAAGCGGAATGCCTATTTTGCTCCCTTGAAATAGCAATGTATGACACCAGAAGTGAAACTATAATAAAGCACACCTTTCAACAGTTCAAGCAAGGACAGGTATGGTCAAGATGTCAAAAATTATCACTTGGGAAGAACACACAAGCTTGAAAAGGCTGCAGACATTTGCTTGAGTTTACAAGGAAGGATGGCATTCTGTTTCCTCCTAAAGCAGAGTTTCTCAACCTGGAAGTTGGGACCCCTGGGGGAATCGTGAGGGGGTTTCAGAGGGGTCACCAAAAACCTTCAGAAAACACATATTTCTGATGGTGTTAGGAACCCCTTTGGCAGAGAAGGCTGAAGATCTCTCCGCCTGTCCTTCTCTTCCTTTTTGGAAATGGACTGTGAATCCTCCCACCAAAAGCACTCCTCCTGCTATGATTAGCTGGCTTCTCAGCCAACGGGAGGGCTATTTTTGAGACTCCAAGCAGGGAGGAGAAAGCAGGCATGCTTGGCACATGGTAGTGTGGTGCGCATGTGCAGGTGAGGGAGAGCGTGTGAGGCTGGAGAGAGGCTCGCATCTCTTCAAGGCAGGGGGAAAAGTGATTGTAGGTGAACTATAAATCCCAGCAACTGCAACTCCCAAATGGCAAAATCAATCCCCCCACCAACCCCACCAGTATTCAGATTTGGGTGTATCAGGTATTGGTGCCAAACTTGGTCTAGTAAATGAAAATACATCCTGCCTATCAGATATTTGCATTACAATTCACAACAGTAGCAAAATTACAGTTATGAAGTAGCAACAAAAATAATTTTATGGTTTTGGGTCACCATAACATGAGGAACTGTATAAAGGGGTCGTGGCATTAGGAAGGTTGAGAACCATTGTCTTAAAGAATTAAAAGCTACTTTTTCTCCTGACATCAATCTTCCTTCTCCCATCACTGTGACACATTCACACAACAAAGTGCTCTAGGCCAGTGTAATGGATTGCTATGATAATATAACATGCCAACTGAATGCCAACCATTATTCGGTTGAAATTCACAATGTGGCCATTGGAAAGCATCCTCCCACCTATTCTAAGGGTTCAGCTACACCAGTGGTTCTCAACGTGTGGGTCCCCAGATGTTTTGGCCTTCAACTCCCAGAAATCCTAACAGCTGGTAAACTGGCTGGGATTTCTGGGAGTTGGAGGCCAAAACACCTGGGGACCCACAGGTTGAGAACCACTGGGCTACACTTTAGAATTGGTGCAGTTTAACTCAGGTCTCAAAGCTATGGAATCATGGGATTTGTAGTTTGGTGAAGCACCCGCGCTCTTGGGTAGAGAAGGCTAAAAAAGGTATACAATTGCAACTCCCATGATTCCATAACATTGAGCCAGGGCAGTTTAAGTGGTGTCAAGCTGCATTAATTCTATAGTGTAGATGCACCCTTAGCCATAAGACTAGCTCAATGTGTTCTAGGCAGTCCATATGGGACCCACAAATCTAACTTGGATTATGGCAAAGAGGAAACAGGAGGAAGAGGACAGATAAATAAGGACCTTTTAATAGCTGAAGATTAATTGGGACTGTCCCTGCCAAACTAGGACAATTGGAGTGTATGATAGGAATGGGAGATTGGAATATAATAGGTGGAACAAAACTTGGGTGGGGGTGAAGGAAGGCAATACTTTCTCTTTCTAACTTTTTGATGTTATAGTTGATATTAAGTAGTGACAAAGTGCATTGACTCTACAATATAGATGCACCTTTACATATAGAATCATAGAATTGGAAGAGACCTCATAGGCCATCCAGTTCAACTCCCTGCCAAGAAGTAGGAGGAATGTATTTAAAGCATCCTCGACAGATGGCCATCCAGCCTCTGTTTAAAAGCTTCCAAAGAAGGAGCCTCCATTACACTGTGGGGCAGAGAGTTCCACTGCTGAACAGCTCTCACAGTCAGGAAGTTCTTCCTAAGTTAGACATGTGACAATCTGATTTCAACAAACACTCTTATTTTTACATAGGAATACACTCCAATCTTCAAATGGTTTTTACTTCTGAAGAGGTTGCTTACAACTGTCAACATGATTAGGAGTTTGAGCTGCATCCGAGGAACAAGCTTTAATTCATGTTGTTTTTCCTAGCTGGATCAGAACCAAATGCAGAAAGAAAGAAAAATATTTTGTCGTGCTTGAGCAGGGGTAATTGGGTGGGTGAAAATAAACAAGAGAGATAAACGGGTTTCTAGGTGAGGCTTGGCTAAGGATGACAGTGTTCACAGCTGGCTGGGTGGAGCACCATCTCCAGCAAGGAGAACTGTGTGGGTGAATGGGAACGAAAGCAGGGTGTTCTTTTTTTAGCCATTCCCAATAAAGCTCAGACATCGGTGTTAATTTTAAGGTGGGGATCGTAGTGATGTGGTCCTTCCAGTGTTGTTGGACTACAACTTTCATCATGGTTCTTTGCTACTTTGCTACTAAACAGAGGCTGGATGGCCATCTGTCGAGGATGCTTTAAATACATTCCTCCTACTTCTTGGCAGGGGGTTGAACTGGATGGCCTATGAGGTCTCTTCCAATTCTATGATTCTTTGTAATACAACATCTGAAGGGTTGCACAATTTCAAACCTAGTGATGGGAAGGAACAAGGAAGAGAATCCCATAGGGCAGTGGTTCTCAGCTCCAGATGTTTTGGCCTGCCACTCCCAGAAATCCTAACAGCTTTTAAACTGGCTGGGATTTCTGGGAGTTGTAGGCCAAAACACCTGGAAGTCCAAGGTTGAGAACCATTTTCATAAGATAAAAAACAGTACTTTCGTTGTTGTTTGTTTGTTTCGGAGAGAGGAACTACTATTCTGGTCAGCCTGACTGAGACATTTTGAAAGTTGTAGTCCAGCGAAATAACTTTTCCATCATTTGGAAATGGGAAACACTTGTTACTGCTGGATCATAATTAGAAATTCAGCGTGTTTCTTTTCATTTGGTTTTGTAAATGTTAAAACTGTACACCTTCCAACATGCCATAGATGAAAACAGGCTCCTTCCACATAGCTGAATAAAATCCCACATTATCTGCTCTGAACTGGAATATATGACAGTGTGGACTCAGATAATCCAGTTCAAAGCAGATATTGTGGGATTTTCTGCCTTGATATTCTGGGTTATATGGCTGTGTGGGAGGGCCCTGAGACACATGTAGCCAGTCAAAACCAAATTATGTTTAAGATGCCAAAAGTTATCATTGAGGAAGAATAGAAAATTTAGGACAACAGTTTACTTAAGCCTGAGACTATTAGTCTGTTGACCTTAAATGTCCTTTGAGCAGAAGCTTGCCACTTGGAGTGCCTTTGTTGTTGATATAAGAAGTTCCTCCATTGTGCATGTGGCAAGGCTCAGACTGCATTGTAATAGGTGGCCTATAGTTTGCTCTTCTCCACACTCACATGTTGTGGACTCCACTTTTTGGCCCCATTTCTTATGGTTGGATCTGCATCTCATGGTGCAAGAGTGCAATCTGTTCAGCGCCTGTTCAGATATCAGCCAGCATGCCAATGCCTTAAATTAAGAAATAGTTTTCTAAGATCTATAGAGATGCTTGCAGGAACACCTCAGCAAGCGAGAGTCCAAAAGTGGCAGGCTAAAACCCGGAACCTCAAGCCATGGCTGATACCAAATGAGAGACTCCCTCCTGGGCACACAGAAGACTAGGTGACTTGAAAGGCCCTGAACAGACTGAACATGAACCAAGATGAGGACAAAGAGGGGAAATGGAAGCAGGATTGAGGAACTAGGATATTTAAAAGCAGCTAAAAGAATGAGACGACATAAGATTTATCCAAACTGTCCCCACAAAATCAGGGCAGTATGAAAATAAATAAAAAAAATTTGAAATGTGTGTGCATGGCAGTGGGAGAAACAGGAGCCCAAAGACATCGACATTCAGTTTTCAGCAACAGCTTCTCAAATATAGTTTCAAAGTTTCAAGATTCACAGGACATGGTGCATTTTCATTTGTTCTTGATTTTAAAATTTGGACCACAAAACTCCCAAGTTTCACAGATTTCAAATACTAACCTTTTGGATGCAGGGCTGAAGCAGAGGGCTCTGTATGACTTTCCAATTGACTGTGTAATAGGAAAGGAGCTGTGCCAAGGTGGGAAACGAGTGCCCCTTTTCCAAGTAAAAACCTCCTCCGGGGTCCTTGTAGATTCTGAAGTGCCGCACTTTGGAGTGATTCCGAACTGAAACCAAAGGACAGGAGAGAATAACAAAATTTCTGTCAACTCCCATGCCGCATCCTTATATATCCTAGTGGAGTCGTAGTGGTGCAATGGGTTAAACACTTGTGCTGGCTGAACTGCTGACCTGAAGGTCTGTGGTTCGGATCCGCAAGACAGAGTGAGCTCCCGTCTATCATCCCCATCTTCCCATGTAGGGATATGAGAGAAGCCTCCCACAGGATGGTAACAATCCGGGTGTCCCCTGGGCAATGTCCTTGCAGATGGCCAATTCTCACACACCAGAAGTGACTTGCAGTATATTCTCAATTTGCTTCCGACACAATAAAAAATATTATAGTAGTAAACATTACAAATATGGACAGATTAACTTTTTTGCTCGAGAAAAACAGTGGCAGAGGCAAAACACAGACAGACTGGTCTATAGTTGAAGAATATATTCAGAGAAACTACGGATAATATAGATTCAACAACTTAACTTACCAAGAGGGAAAGGACAACTTTGTTAATCAATAAGAAACTATAGAAAATGATGTGAGGAAGATGAACGGCAGTCAAGGACCCCCCCCCCCCCTTTTAGCCTGCTTTTATACATCCCTAAACGGTTCTGGCCCAACTTACCTGTCTGAACTTATCTCCTCCTATGAACCAGCTAGGACGTTATGATCGTCTGGGGAGGCCCTGCTCTCAGTCCCGCCTGCATCACAAGTACGGTTGGCGGAGACGAGAGACAGGGCCTTCTCAGTGGTGGCCCCTCGGCTGTGGAACGCCCTTCCCACAGAAATTAGATTGGCCCCCTCCCTGTTCACATTTTGGAGGAAAGTGAAGACCTGGTTGTTTGAGCAGGCATTTGAATAGGCAGTGTAACTAATATAGAAATATGGAACATTTGGATGATGAGACTGGATTTTGATTTTAACTATGAGACGAAATGAGATGTTATGATGTTTATTGATTGTTATAATGCTATTCTTTTAACTTGTTTTTAACTGTTTTTATCACGTTTAAGTATTGTATTTGCTCTCTTATCCACTCTGAGTTGCCCTGAGGGCTGAGAAGAGCGGTATACAAATATAGTAAATAAATAAATAAAATAAATATCTAAATGTTTCCATTTCCTACTTTTCTTTAACTACATTGTTCTCCAACTTTCTTTGTATACTGATCCTCTTCATATTTCCCTTTAAATTTTATTATTTTAGAAGGAAATCAATAAAAACCATTAAAATATTCTAGTTCCTTTACTAGGAAACTATTTTTAAAAGCTCATCCATATGGTTTACATCTGCGATAGAACAAAACTCATTTTTTGTGGCTCAATTCCAGGTGAGAGATAATTGTGTGAATTCCCAAGTTTGACAACCTGTGTCAACTCTATGTGTTTTCAAGGTGCTCCAGCACCTAGGCTGTAAATCCTTTATTTCAATAAGGTTGTCTGGGAACAACCCCTCTATGGATACGGGGCTCATATTGGGCAATAGGACTCATGCTCTATTCTACACTGCATTCATCCTTTGTCTCAAAGCAAGTAGAGTAGAGGTGCATCTACACTGTAGAATTAATGCAATTTGACATGACTTTAATGGTCATGGCTCAATGTTATGGACTCATGAGAACTGCATGGAGTTGCAGTTTGGCACACTACCAAACTGCAACTCCAGGATTCCATTGCATTGAGCCACAGCAGTTAAGGTGGTGCCAAACTGCATTAATCCTACAGTGCAATTTTCCCCTAGGGCAAATATTTCATGTCCCAAAGTTAGGGAGAAGGAATAGAAATAATATCTTCATTTCATTTTGATAAGAGAACATCTCCTTTAGCTAAGACTTCTGTGTTGATTCCTAAATAGGAGAACATATTTTCTCTGTCGCTCTGTGTGTATGAATGACAGGCTGTTAGCAAGTGTGGCAGGAGCCCCCGGTGGTGCAATGGGTTGAACTCTTGGGCCAGCAGGACTGCTGACTAAAAGGTTGGCGGTTCAAATCCAGGGAGTGGGGTGAGCTCCAACCTGTCAGCTTTAGCTTCCCATGTGTGGACATGAGAGAAGCCTCCCACAGGAACGTAAAACACCCGGGTGACTCCTGGACAACGTCCTTGCAGGCGGCCAATTCTCTCACACCAGAAGCGACTTGCAGTTTCTCAAGTTGCTCATGGCATGGAAAAAAAAGCAAGTGTGGTTGGCACTGAATGGCATCACCAGAGACCATTCCTAATCTCAGGTTTGGGGTTGGAAACGTCAAGGCGTGGGATATTCCTGACTTGGCAACCCTAATTTTTAACAAATGTGGAACTGGATAATTTATTCATTATGGGAATCATCTATCTGCCAACAATGTAATGTATCACTTGCAAGTCTTTTGATACGTAGACCTTGTTGGATACAAACCAGTGGGAGTGAGACTCTACAGAACAGGTATTTCTGTTTATCAGCAAATCGTTTCTCTTGTACCAGAAGAAGGAGATCTCATAACCTACTGGGTCTGAGGTTTTCAGAAAGGGAACCAAGTTCTATCTCAACTCTCAGACCAACTCAAGGCATTTTGTGAACGAAAGCAGACATGATGCCCTGCCCATCTCCAATTCCATTTCCTCCATTTATTTATTTATTTAGATCATGTCTATCCCATCCTTCTCGCCTTCGGGAAGGGACTCAGGACTCAGAACAACTACCAAGAGGCACTTTTTGGTGCCAATCAAAACACAACATAAAATACATTTAATCTACATTAAAAACAGTTAAAAATCCATAAGAACAGTTCACCATTTCATGTCATCCTCTGACTAATCCATAGCCATCAGTTCAATAATCAGTTCAATTAAAACCATCTTCAGTCCATTGCCGTCCACAAAACCAGTCTGTTAAAGCCCTCTATCCAGCGAATGCTTGATCCCATAACCAGGTTTTTAGCATTTTCTGGAAGGTCATGAGGAAGGGGGCAGATCTAATCTCATTTGGGAAGGCGTTCCACAGCCAAGGGGCCACCACTAAGAAGGTCCTGTCTCTTGTTCCCACCCACCGTGATTGTGATGGCAGTGAGACCGAGAGCAAGGTCTCTCCAAACGATCTTAAGGTCCTTGGGGGTTTGTAGAGGGTGATACATTCGGACAGGTAAGCTAGGCTAGAGCCGTTTAGGGTTATGTTAGCAGTTTAATTTTACAGTGGCTATAGGTCAGCATTCCTCACTTAGAGGACACTGGGGAGGCCAGGAGACACTACTGGCAATGTTATCACACCAGAGCTTTAAATCTGCCTGCAGAATTATGGGAAATGTAGTTTGGGAAGGCGAGGACTTCTGTAACTGCGAATTCAAAAGGCCCCATCCTAAACTACATTCTCTAGAATTCCGCAAGTGGTGGAAATGTGGCGCTGACTGCTTTAAAGTCCTGGTGTGATAACATGGTGATGTGTCGTTGCTCTCTCAACCCATACCATATGGTCCCAGCAATTGCCAGTCCTTGCTGGGAATCTATGAGAAACAAAGGACCATTGTTTTTGCTTTTATGTGCCTTCATGTTGACTTCAATTCACACTGACCCAACTCAACCCTATCTAGAGTTTTCAAAATGTATTCAGAGGAGACCTTCCATTGCCTTCCTCTAAAGGTGAGAAAATATGACTAGCCCAAGGTCACCCAGTGAGTTTCCATGGATCCAAAACCTGTCCTTCAAGTGTCCTTGTCCAACACTCAACCCATGCTGACTTCTCAAAGGACCATGGGGCTCTGGAAAGCAATAGAATTAATCCAACTGTTAAGCAGGGTAAGGTGGATGCCACAGGCAGGACATGGAACTGTTCTCTACCTTTCCCTGGGAAGTTCAACCAATAAAAAAAACTGGCATGTGTTCCCCTCAGGCAGTTCCATGCACTTTCCCATGATTGCCTTGGAAGAAGTAACCACAAGTTAAATCTATAAAACGCTGAAGGGGAGATATGCTTGAGGAACCAACATGGTATAGTAGTTTGAACATTAGATTATGACTCTGGAGACCAGGGTCTGAATCCCCATTGAGCTACAAAATCTATGGGATGACTTTGGGCAAGTCACACTATCTCAGCTTCAGAGAGAGCCTCTTCTGACCAAAAAAATATGTTTGCTTTAGGATGGCCATAGGTCAAAATGTCTTGAAGGAACACAACAAGATATGTCTGAAAAATACACTACCTATTGGATTGCCAGATATGACTTTCTCACATGAAAAAAACCTGAGGGCTCTATCCCCAAAGATGGGTTTTGACACAAGTGTGCATGAGTTTTGACACAGGTGTGCATGAAAAAACCTGAGGGATCTATCCCCAAAGATGGGTTTTGACACAGGTGTCCATTGGACGTGGTGGTGGGGGAAGCTCCTTGTTTGTTCAGTTACTGAGATTGCCATCAACATGAGTCAATAGTGTGGAGTCAATTGATGTGAGTCAATAGTAGGCAATTTGCTAGAGATCAAGTTGTGATCATGGGGTGGCCAAACTACTATGTCTGGTCTAAGGACTGAAGGTTGCCAGCCACTGCTGATGGTGCCTAATTATTGCTTAACTCCAGGCTGGTTCATCCCTTGCTCCATATGAGCAGTGTGGGAAGGATACCAGTGTTTATTGCAATATTGAGCATAATTACATGTGAGAGAGGGAATGCATGCATGGCCTAGTAATGAACATTTATAACGTGTAAGATATCATTGGCTAAAAACCTGCTGGAACGAACTCATCACAAAATCTGGAGGTGGATTTTCACGTGGCTTCATATTTGAAAGTGAAGTGTGTTTGGGATACCTCTAAGCCAGCATTTCTCAACCTGAGGGTTGGGCCTCTGGGGAGGGGGTCATAAGGGGGTGTCAAAGGGGTCACCAAAGACATCAGAAAACACAGTATTTTCTGTTGGTCATTGGGATTCTGTGTGGGAAGTTTGGCCCAATTCTATCATTGGCTGAGTTCAGAATGCTCTTTGATTGTAGATGAACTATAAATCCCAGCAGCTACAACTCCCAAATGACAAGGTCTATTTTCCCTAAACTCCACCAGTGTTCACATTTGGACACATGGAGTACTAGTGCCAAGTTTGGTCCAGATCCATCATTGTGTGAGTCTACAATGGTCTGTGGATGTAGGTGAACTACAACTCCAAAACTCAAGGTCAGTACCCAACAAGCCCACCAAACCCTTCCAGTATTTTCTATTGGCCATGGGAGTTCTGTGTGCGAAGTTTGGTTCAATTTCATCATTGGTGGTGTTCGGAATTCTATTTGATTGTAGGTGAACTATAAATCCCAGCAACTACACCTCCCAAATGACAAAATCAACCCCCCCCCAACCCCACCAGTATTCAAATTTGGGCGTATTGGGTATTTGTGCCAAATTTGGTCCAGTGAATGAAAATACATCCTGCATATAAGATATTTACATTACGGTTCATAACAGTAGCAAAATTACAGTTATGTAGTAGCAATGAAAATAATTTTATGGTTGGGGATCACCACAACATGAGGAACTGCATTAAGGGGTTGCAACATTAGGGAGGTTGAGAAACAATGCTCTAAACATTTGGGGGGCGGGTCTATGTTTGTTTCTTGCCTTGAAATACCCAATTTCAGGTGTGTAATGCACATACATGACATTCTTTACCCCTCCAGGCCAATTTAGATCCTAAAAAAAATAAATCTGTTTTCGGCTAGGTAGCTGAAAGATCTGGGAAGATCCGGCCCATTGGTGGGAATGGGGAACTTAGAAGGCTCCTCTTTCCATTCCTGGGATCCTTTCTTTTCTTCCTTTCAAGGGAACCTGGGTTTGAGCAACGAGATTAAGGAAGCATCCTTTCTGGGACCCTTCTGGGACCCTTTCCTTTCTTCCTTTCAAGGAAGTCTGGGTTTGAAGAATGGGGTTAAGGAAGCACCCCTCATGTGACCCTTTCCTATTTTTTTCAAGGGAGTCTGTGTTTGAAGAATGGGGTTAAGGAAGCACCTCTCCTGGGACCCTTTCCTAATTTTTTTCAAGGGAGCCTGGGTTTGAAGAATGGAGTTAAGGAAACACCCCTTCTGGGACCCTTTCCTATTTTTTTTCAAGGGAGCCTGGGTTTGAAGAATGAGGTTAAGGAAGCATCCTTCTTGGGACCCTTTCCTATCTTCCTTTCAAGGGAGTCTGGGTTTGAAGAAGAGCGTTAAGGAAGCATTTTTCCTGGGATCCTTTTCTTTAGGAAAGGAACCTTGGGTTTGAGCAATGGGCTTAAGGAAGTAGTGTGTAAGTCACTTCACAGTGTTCTTCTATTTAGATTGGCCCAACAGGCAGGGCTCACAGGGAAATCCTGTGGGAGCAGCACACAGCAGCTTCTCCGCACGCTACGTGGTGCCGAATAGGTGAAGAGGAGCTGTGATTGACTGCCATGTGGCCCAGTTATGGATAAAAAAAACCATGACATATGAGCTCTTCCTGTTACGGCCATCCGAATAAGCTGGATTGGCCAAAGGGAACCGATCAAACAAAATTTGTGCACAAACCTATTAAACAATTCTATAGTAAGTAACCTGAATAGGTCATATAGCAGAGCACATGGGCACATAGATAGTTCCTGGTGATTTATTTTCTTTTTATTTCCAGAAGCATTTATGTCTATATGCATATGAAGAAGTAAACCTATGAACACTTATATGCCACAAAATTTATTTCCATATTGATCCAGACTGACACAGCCATGACTTTGGATTCATCTGAGGTTCAAAGACCTTCCAACACACTCTTCGAGGCAGTCTATTCCACTGTCAAACTCTTCTTATAGCAAAGATGTTTTTCCAAATATTTAGGTGGCAAAACTGACTGGGAAAGTCTGTAAGTTGTTTATAAAGGTAAGAGTTTGAAGAAGAATTCTGACACAGAACTATATCCCCTATATTTCTCTGGTATCTTAAGCTTGCTTGAAATCGCAATGCAGGGAATGTGGACATTACCTGAGAGGGAATGTTCCCCTTTGTTGCTCTCGCTGTCCCGAATGAGGAAGGAGCCGTGGCGATTAGGAGGAGAGAGAAGGAGGAGACTGGCTTTGTTCCGGCTGATGCCACTTAGGTACCAACTGAAAGGAAAGTGGCAGAGTGAAATTAGTCATCAGGATAGAGTAAACGTTTGCGTATCTTCAGAAATGGGACATCTTCAGTTTTGGGATAACAATCCATGGAGCAAAAGCCCAAGCGATATTAGAGTGTGGTTCAGATGCAACAAGTTATTACTGAGGAAAAACTCATAAGCTAGGAAATTTTGCAGCAGTCTAATTTTGCCCGAGTTTACTGGGAAGGGCATATGAGTCATGAGTCAATTCCTTCTCCATTTTGAACTCATCTTGAACTGAAATAGGTGGCAGACAAAGAGGAAAAGTGAGAGGACGAGAGAAGATGCGTCTACTCTGTAGAAATAATGCAGTTTGATTTCAGTTTAACTGCCATGGTTCAGTGCTATGGAATCCTAGGAATGGTAGTTTGGTGAGGCACCAGTGCTCCTTGGCAGAGAAGGTTCAAGATCTTGGTTCCCATAGTTCCATATAATTGAGCTGTGACAGTTAAAGGCGGATCTGGCCAAAGTGGTCCATGCCTTAGTCACCTCTAGACTGGATTACTGCAATGCACTCTATGTGGGGCTGCCCTTGAAAATGGCCCAGAAATTTCAGATGATCCAATGGGCGGCAGCCACGTTGTTAACTGGGGCGCCTTACAGGGAGCAGTCAACCCTCCTGTTCAAGGAGCTCCACTGGCTGCCATTCATTTACCCAACGCAATTCAAGGTGCAGGTTCTTACCTACAAAGCCCTGAACAGTTTGGGACCCGCCTATCTGCGTGACCATATTTCTGTATACAAACCCACTTGATCCCTTCGATCATCTGGGGAGGCCCTGCTCTCGATCCCACTGGCATCGCAGGCGCGGTTCGGTGGTGGCCCCTCGACTCTGGAACTCACTCCCTAAAGACATCAGACAGGCCCCAACCTTGGCAGTCTTTAGGAGGAGCTTAAAGACATGGTTGTTCCAGTGTGCCTTCCTGGAATAATGTTCCCATAGCACTTTGTCCTCCAAAGCACTTTACATTTTTTAGATCTGCTCGTATGCCCTTCCACAAATGCCACTATCACCTTTCGTCCATGTCCCAGCATTATTTCCATTTTAACTTTACATTTAGCCTTCCCACTGTTTTAAATTGTGTGTTGTCTTATTGATAATGTTGTATATTTTTTGTCTATGTTTTTATTTCAATTGCTTGTACTGTTGTTGTTTTGCTTGTATTGTTGTATTTGGGCTCGGACTCATATAAGCTGCACCGAGTCCCTTGGGGAGATGGTAGCGGGGTATAAATAAAGTGTTATTATTATTATTATTATTATTATTATTATTATTATTATTTCAAATTGCATTAATTCTAGAGTGTAGGTGCACTGAGCACCTTTAAAAGGTGAGAGGAAATCCAAAAGGGAAAATCCCAAAAGGGATTTTAATGTACCTACTGGTATTTTACTGGAACTCTTCCAATTTGGCAGAAGCATTCTCAGGTAATCCTCTGTAGTGTTGTTTTTTTCTACCACCCACAATCCCCCTTTGTCTTCAGCATACTTCAGTGACTGAGTGCAAAGTGCAAAAAATCTTGTTTTTCATTAAACTCAGCTAGAAGGTGGAAGAATGAAGGGGGCAAAAAAAGAGGGGCTACTGCCCTTCCCAGTAGACTCAGGCAAAAGCAAACTGCTGCAACCTCTTTTAACTTGTATCTCCTTTCTGAAGGACATACAACTTTTGCTTTCTTGATTGCATAATGATGCCGCTTGGCCACAAAGTGTATCTATTTTCAGCTCTTAAATGTTGTATATAAAAGTATAATTTTATGTTTATACTTCTATGTGGTTTATTAGATGTTTTAATATGACATAAAATGCTTCTCATTACTATCTTGGGAGAAAGGCAGGAAACAAATAAAATAATAACTTTTATACAAAAGCCCACATATATTGTTTGATGCCAGAAAACAGGGAACACTCTCTTGTGTGATTTTCTGCCTCAAGAGTAAAAATAGGTAGACTCATTCAAGATAATATGCAGCTTGATTGGTGTATGTGACTGTATCCATTTGATGCTTTACTTTAGGCACAAAAGCACCTTGATCCAGCCTTGATCTTTAATAGGACTTGACAATAGTGGTTTTATTAGCATAATTCTACTTTTAATTTGGGAGCTTGTAAAAAAAATAATGTCGTTGTGTGCCTTCAAGTCATTTCCAAGTTATAGTGACTCTAAGGCAATCTTGTCATGGGGATTTCTTGGCAAGAGTTCTGCAGAGTTTGCCTTTCTCTGAGGATGAGAGAATGCGACTTGCCTGAGGTCACCCAGTGGGTTTTCTGCAGGGATCTACTAGGTGACCTCAAGGGTCCTCTGCTGAATATTATGCAATGCCCAAGGTCACCCAATGAGTTTCAGTGACTGAAAGTCAAACCCTGGTCTCCAGAATCATAGTCCAACACTCTAATCACTCCATAGATGGAAAATTGGAGATGGCGCCTGTATTTTTAATGGTTGTGTAGAAGAGGGCATTTCAACATTTATTGCTTGTGACTTGGATGAGTGACAAGCAATACCTGCGGAAATCCTTCTTTTACACGCCAATTAAAAGAACAAGAGCCATATCGACTTTTCAATCTGACAAGCCAGGTTTCTAGGATCTAAGAGAGAGCCAGGCAGTGGTTTGATGGGGCCAAGTCTTGCAGAGCTGAGGCGCCAGGTTTAACTATGGCTCCACCTTCCAACCCTCCAGGCCTCCCTTTCCGCTCTGAGTTCAGCTGCAATCTGCATAGTGGTTCGGAGCATGAGAGGACAAGGATTCTCCCAGTAAACAAGTCTGGAATGCAAAGTATTTACTTTTGTTGTCAATGACTTCTGAATGAGCAATGTTCTCATTTTCAACTGGCCTGTTCAGGTTTGGCAAAGAAAGGGATGTGGTTTCTTTGTTTGAGAGAGCATCTACACTGTAGAATTAATGCAGTTTGACACCACTTTGACTACCATGGCTCAATGCTATGGAATCATGGGAGTTTTTTCCCCCAGGGGATAAACATCAAGGGAACCACTGACTGTATAGGGAAGCAGATGAACAAATACAATGTACAAACTCAGGCATGTAGCCGGGGGGGCTTGAGGGGCTTCAGCCCCCCCCCCCCCGAAATTCTCATGGTGGTTTGCGAAAAGGCCTTACTGGTGAATTATTTAAACTGTTATGTTTATTCATGTCATGATCTGATCACCATACTCAATATATCCCATATCCATGGGGGTATTGGGGTAATGATACAAAAGGTTTGCTAGGCTAGACCCTCTTTCACTCAGACTCAGCTGTAGGCTGTATATCTCCCCGGCCAAGCCGTAGAAGATGAAGTTTTCTACAGGAGCTCTTCGTTTTATGTCCTGTGCGAAAGCTGCTCTGTGTAGACTGAACTCAAAATGGCTCCTATTCCCACTAAAACTCAAAAAGGGGCGGGACCAGGGAACCTAACAATAATTGACAGGTGGCTTGCCCTATGATTGCAGCCAAAAGAAGCCACCTATCTGCAGAGTCCCTGAAACTTAGGACTGCAACAAACATTCAATGCAAAGCAAACAAAATTGGAGCTCCTGGTGCAGTTGTACCAGCACATTGACACCACTTTAACTACTATGGCTGAATGTTATGTAATTCTAGGAGTTGCAGTTTGATGAGGCACCAGCACTTTTTTTTTTGGGGGGGGGGGGGGGAGAAGAGTAGGCTAAAGACCTTGTAAAATTATTACTGCTATGATTCAAGAACATTGAGCCATGGCAGCTTTTTTTCATTTCAGGAGCGACTTGAGAAACTGCAAGTCGCTTCTGGTGTGAGAGAATTGGCTGTCTGCAAGGACGTTGCCCAGGAAACCCCCAGATTTGACATGTGTTTTTGGATGTTTTCTCCAGCTATATCCTGGTTACTGAGTCCAGAAGACCATTTCTGACCATCTTTTTTTCCCCTCCCTTTTTTTGGACTATTTCAGATGTTTCCCCAATGAAGCCTGATGGACACTGACAAGATTGCCTGCGTCATGGGAAGAGCTCCATCACAAATAGTACCCTCAATGGATTCTAAAATATCTGGGGACATTGCACAACCACAGTATAGTTACTCAAGAACAGAAATCTGCAGGTGGACATAGTTCATATTTATTTTGCCTGATGTGGGAAGAGGTCCTTGGGATGAAACGATGATTTACCACACTGGGTGACACTAACCCTAGATGCCAAATACATTCACTAGACTGAAAATCCCAAGAATCTGTAGCATCTTGTCATGGTCATAGCACTATAGTTTTAGGTTTGAATATGGTTTTAATCAGTGTTTAAGGGTTTTAAGTGTTTACTTTTTTTTTTAAAAAAAACTATTTTTTAGGATTAAAGTAGTTTTCTATTTGGTTTTACTGTAAGCCACTTTGAGTCTTGTTTGTAGGGAGAGGATGTAGGGTATTCATACACATTATCGTCATCATCATATACTCAAGAGGAGGTGCTCCATCTTCAAGTATATGTATAAGTAGTCCCCTTAGTGCAGGCATGGGTAAACCAGACTTCCAGATGTTTTGACTTCAACTCCACAATTCCTAACAGCCGGTAGGAGTTGAAGTCCAAAACATTTGGAAGACTGAAGTTTGCCCATGCTTGCCTGACCGGCTTTGAGGATAGCGCTGCCCTCCTTTAGACCTTTCTCTTCTCAGTTCACTTTCATTTGACTCTCTCATCCACCATGATTGGTGTCAACAATTTGATGGAGTCACCTAGGGCAGTTCACACTAACCACATCTTCTAGTATTTATTTATCGTGTCAGTATCAACCAAACAATTGTATTACATTTTTAACATATTTTTAACAGACAAAACAGAGTTTACAAACTTGGTAGTTGATTAAATGTCCTTTGACCAGTATCTGGCCACTTGGAGTGCCTCTGGTGTTGTTGCAAGGAGGTCCTCCATTGTGCATGTGGCGGGGCTCAGATTGCATTGCAGCAGGCAGTCTGTGGTTTGCTCTTCTCCACATTCGCATGTCG